GGACAGAACACCTGTGGACAGGTGGGACAGAACACCTGTGGACAGGTACAGAAGTCTGCGTGACTCAGTTTGTTCTGAGACGACCGTCCTCTGTCAGGGTCAGTTGGCTCAAAGTTTCCCTGGTTCTTTAATGAAACGGTGAAAACACTTTAGCTGCGTCTCTAAAGGACAGTTGGATCTGCTCCGTGGTGGCAGGTTTTAAATCGACACTAACCTTGACCGAAGGTCATGTCGTGTTTTTTCAAGGCCTGGGTGGAGAGTTTGACCTCTCAAGGTAGAGTCGCTGCTTCTGCAGAAAGAAGTTTGTTGAGGTGGTTAGTGTATCTGATGCCTTCCAGAGAAGATGTTCCAGACACGTCCCACTGGGAGGAGACACCAGGGCAACCCAGGACCCTCTGGAGAGATGTTGCCCAACATCTGGAACGCCTCAGTCTCACTGGATGAGCTGGAGGAAGCAACAGGTGTGGAGCTCTGCTGCCCCACGTGTTTGATGAGCAACACGGTGGACAGGCGGCTCACTGAGGGCTCTGCTGTGTGACAGGAGACCTCATGGTAGGTTTGGTTCTTGTTAAGTACCGACACACCTGATGTGAACGTGGGTTGAACATATCCAGCGTGGTGATCTGTCGAGGGATTAAAGAGTTAGTCTTTATGTTAATCGGGCACCAATTTAAGAGCTACAGTTTTAGCCATGAGTAAATTGAAACCTGTTTTTTAAGCAGCAGCTAAAGCGTCCTCTTTTAAAAGAGATCATTTAATTTTGAGAGTCCTGAGGACATTTTTAAATAAACAGTCATTTCCTAAACACCGTCTGCTCCAGATACATTTAAAAACACATTTTCTGTCACATCTGCACATCCTGTCCAAGCAAAGGAACGTTTTAGTGACATGTTGAGAAACGCCTGGTGTTTCTGTGTGGACATGTTGATACAGAAGCCCGTTTCTCACAGGCTCATTAACACTATTATGAAACTAAATCTGCACAAATATAAAGTTGTTGGTTTTTACCTGGTTTTCTGGGACTGTCTCACTTCTTCCTGATGGTGTTGCCATCAGACTTTGATCGTGCACTGAAATGGTTCAAACTGAGAAACTAAACCGTATTCCAGAAGCCAATTATAGAAAGTGGAAGCATTAAGCCATTATTGTCCTCTGGGTTTTATTGACGAGTCAGTGTTGAGACTCTGCCGCCATGCATGGGTTTCTCTGTAGTTTGTTGGAAAGTGTGGACTGAGAGAAAAACATTCACATTAAAGACGGGGCTTTTAAATAAATAAATATAAAGAAGCTGTAGATGAAGGGAAAATGACATCTGGATGCAACGATCACAACAGGTAAAGAAACAAATGTTTTTTGTGCTTGAACAAACAAAACCTTTGAAAACAGAGTCACATATACAGAGCTGGAGGACATTAATTTCATCTAAGGAGGGAGAAAGACTGAAATTAATTCCAAAGATGCTCCGGTCCAAAGATTAATACGTCGGTCTTGTCTGAGTTTCCCATTAGCAGCATGGTCCTGTTAGCAACTAGGGATGCACCGATCCACTTTTTTTTTTTTTTACTTCCGATCCCGATACCTAAATCTGGATATCGGCCAATACCGATACTATTCCGATATCATCGTCATTGTTATAGATTTTATATGAGGCTGTAATATCTATATAGGCAAGTACAATTTGCACAAATATATGCATTCATGTCCAAAAAGGCAACTTTAGGTAAGTTTTATTAATGTTGGATAAGTTTCAAAGTTAGAATTAAATCCTGCTAGCCCAAAACATGTTTTTTTATTATTCCTAGCTTTAAAGTGGATATTAAAGTGATTAAATGGCTTCAAACAGCTGCTAAGTTCATGGCAAAACCCAACACAGACACGTTCCTGTTTTTAGTATTTTACAGCGCTTTATAATGTCGCTGTTTTGTTTTTTTTGTTTGTTTGTTTTTTTTATATATAATTTTCTTTTATTTTTCATTTCATATGCTTTTTTATGATTGTCTACTGTTGTACTGATAAATATCTCCTGGAGGGTAAATGTAAACTAGAACTTGGCTGCAAGTATTCAATCAAGCTGCGCTCAGTCTGCTGCTCCTCCAGACGGGCAGACTGAAATCAGACTGTCTGCTTCGGACTGAACGAGAGGAACACACCGCTGAAGCCACAGAGCTCGAACGTCCAATGTAAAACTAACTTTACCGCGGTGCCTGGCTAAACAATCCTCGTGCACTTTAATGTGGTGCTTTTTCAAATGTTTATTAAGTTCGTTGTATTTTAGGTCGCGACCGAGCTTCCCCGTCTCGGTACAGCAGCTCTGCAGACAGTGCACGTTGCTGTCTTGTGGTGTTTACTGTAAACTACTTCCACACAGCGGACTTGTTACGATGAAACGTCTGTTAGCCGTTAGCCACGGTGCTGCTGCTCAGCCATCACGTTGTAGCTCGCTGCAAACTATGAAATGGATTTCCTGAATGTGAGGCGGGTCTTATTACTCTGGGTTTCATGAGACACGCCTCCGTTCAGGAAATCCATTCCATAGTTTGAAGCCAACCTTCAGAGCAGCTGGCAGGAAATCACATGTGGACGTTTCAACAGACACAGACATGCATCATGGATCGGAAATCTCTGCAGGTTGGATTAGAGAAATCCGATACGTACACGATGCTGGTATTGGAGGCCGATACCGGGTCGGATTGGCCCCATCCATACTTCCTACCCAACCCTGGGCTGCAATGGGCAACCCCATAATTATGGCACTGGGGCAGTGGCCTACCACATGCAAACATACATGGACTTGAACTGACTGCGATGGCTGGGAATCGAACCCAGGTCAACTGCTTAGAAGGCAGCTATGTTCACCACTACACCACCATCGCTAAAAAAGCTGTGGCCATATATGTATATATATAAATATATGTATATGGACAGTAACTGCACCACAGAAACCCAAACAATCAGGCCAGGGTTTTTATTGTTTGTTATGTTTATGACATCAGCATCTGTAACAACTCTTAATAAACCAGGATGAGTTACAACATTTAATTTCCCTTTGGGATTATTGAACTGAAACATTCCTGCTATGACTTTTAGTATTTTTTGCAATTTGTACGTTCTGCAATATTTATCTTTTCCGTCCATGTTTGTCAATAATAAACACAACAAAGACGAAAGTTACTGAATCGCTCTTAGTCTGGTCCCTCAGTTTGTCCGCACCAGCAGGACTTCTGTGATCATTGGGACACGCAAACACCTCCACCACGATAAGGTGGCGATTCACCGGGGTGAGGAAGGGGGGGGGGGGGGGGGGGGTGTGTGTGTGTGTGTGTGTGTGTGTGTGTGTGTGTGTCTGTGTGTGTGTGACCAGTGAATAAATTTGTTTAAACTATGGTAAATGGACTGCAGCGCTTTTCTATCTTATCCAGACACTAAAAGCTCTTTACAGTACAAAACAATGTGTGTCCTCATTTA